CTAATAGCCTTTTTTGTTTTAAGCATACAGCCTTAAAGGGTTAGTTCACCCAAAAATGAAAATTCTGTCAGTATTTACTCGCCCTCATGTTGTTCCAACCCCGTAAGACCTTCGTTCATCTTCGGAACACAAATTAAGATATTTAAGATATTAAAATCGCTCCTGCATACTAGTCCATAGGCTTCTTGAGGGAATGACTCTTGCTGGCATTGAAAAGTCATTAAAGACATCCAAGTGACTACAGTGGCTCAATTTTAACTTTATCAAACGACGAGAATACTTTTTGTGCGCAAAAACAAACAAAAATAACGACTTTATTTCAACTATTCACTTCTTTCTCCATGGGCCTGTAGTCAGTTAACGTAGTGTGATTGCGTAAAGCTACGTCACACGTAGGCTCACTATTGGCCGACGCTGGTCATGTGTGTGATGCGTGTGACGTACAATAACAGAAGCTTACGCTATTAAACTAGTAACCTGACTCGCGCAGAGGCAGAAATAAACGAATAGTTGAAATAAAGTCGTTGTTTTTTTGTTTCTCGTCGTTTTTATAAACTTAAGATTGAGCCACTGTAGTCACTTGGACTATTTTAACGATGCTTTAATGAATTTTCGAGGACAGCAAGTCATTCCCTCAAGAAGCCTATGGACTAGTATGCGATCTTAATATCTTAAATATCTTAATTTGTGTTCCGAAGATGAACGAGGACTTACGGGGTTGGAACAACATGAGGGTGAGTAAATACTGACAGAATTTTTATTTTTGGGTGAACTAACCCTTTAAGAAGAGAAATTGCAGATTCCACCCCACCAGCATTTTCAAAACGAGTCCTTGAACTTTCACACTGGATTTTGCTGTATGGTATTTTGATGCTGCTGCCTTTTTATATGAACCGATGGCTTTTACGACCAAGAATCCCGTCTCCCTTTTGGTCTTGTTTACAGTGACATGGCACATATCAGGGATGTACAGTTATCTTTAATACATACACAAAACATACCATTGAACCAGCTGATGTTTGTATGAAGTAGCTCCTCTTGTTTCTTGCCGATGCGGTCTGTAGAGAAGGTCGACGTTACGCTGAGGCTCCGGTTCCCTCAGGCAGATGGAAGGAGACGCCCCGAGGGACGGAGGCATCTGTGCTTTACTAGTTCCTCCTCCCCACAGAGAAAAATAGCCATGATCGCCATGCAGTTCTGCCGTGCGCTATGAAGACGACTTCATTGTTCCTATCAGACACTGTGGCTCGTAAAGATTACCTCACTGTTACACTGTCGTTCACATTTACCTCCCTAAGAACTAGTTTATCCTCACCGCTCGGGTTAGAAAAGATGGTTCTGCTGTTTGAGTGTCATACCTTTAGATCAACATTTTAGTCCAGACGTCTTGTTTCTGTTAAACAAACGGGATATTTTAAAGCAGACTGTAATTTTTGGTCCAAAATATTTTATTATTATTGTTGTAAACTAAAGATAAAATTAACCAAACATTCTTCTTTTCTTTTCTTTTTTTTTTTTTGGTTCTTAGACTACACAATGAATTCCTTAATGTTGACTGGCCTTAAGACCAAAGTGTCTGCTTTACGTCCTGCTGAATGAGAAGCTTTTCCAACCACTTTACTGGACTGGATCAAAATCTTTCTCCTGAAGTCCTGAACTTTGAACTACCTCAATATATTGCCATTTACTTGCTGATTCTGCAGGGCTCGTCTTTTCGTTTTATGTTTTTTTTTTTTTTTTAATCGGTCAAAACATTCTCGTGCTTCGTTGCATTTTTTTATTTTTTATTTTTTTATTTTTTTATTTTTTTTATCCAGAACTTAGTTTTTTTTGTATAGGTAGAGAACGGTGTTCACTGTAACAGACACGCACTGTTTGATATTTCAAGTCATTGTCTTGTTGAAGCCTCTGTGTGTGCAATATGTAATCATTAGTTTGTAACTTTTTTAGACTGATGTATATATTTTTTTTTTCATTTTGTACCACTACTTTTTTACTCTGTAGAATTAGTTTTTTGTTGGTTTGGTTTGTTTTTAACACGCGATTACTGCTTCCGGGCAGTGATTTATTTTTCCACCAAGAAAATGTTGCACATTGCAACCAATGTGTCCTGAATCTCTAGACGTGTAGTAGACTAGAGAATCGATTCTGCTCATTCAGTGATCTAATGGGTTTATTTAAAAGCCTGTATTTGGGTAGGGGAGGGGATAACGGGTGTAAATTGGATGAAAACCCCAGAAATAAAAAGAAAAGAAAAAAAAAAGCACAAAATCTTGGTAAATGTTTCGTTCATGTGTGAATCATACATTTTGAATAGACGCTGGATTTGCATGGCTCAAGGCGAGTTGTTTCATGTGAATGTCTGGACTCATTGCACATGAAAAGGTCTTTGGAGGTGGGGGTGGGGGGGTGGGGTTTGGTTCATTTGGCTCCACCCCAAATACCACTGCCCTCCCCCTTCCTCCCGGCATGTAACGTGCTGGACTGGAGACAATGGGGGAGATTCCTGCCCCACATGGTGGTTCTTCCTGTCACTAAACACCACTAAACAAATAAAGCGCATCCAACTGAGCACCACTGATCGTTTCAGAGATAAAAGCTCTCGGGCTCAAAGAGCAACCGACAATAGCTACAGTGAAGTTGGAGTAATGGGCAAAAAGTCATTTTTCTGTCTGTGTGTGTTTTAAAGAAACATTGGAAGGTATAGAGATCATTTGACTATAGTGGTTTTACTAATACAAAGTGAACTGTTTCTTGTTTTTTTTAGTTACACAAAGAGTCCTTTAAAATAATCGAGGCGGTCGTGATGTTGCTTGGTTGATATGTTAGACCTTAAACGGATAGTTCGACCAAAAACATTCTAAACATGTATGACTATTTCTTCTGTGAAACACAAAAGAAGATATTTTGAAGACCCGTTTCGAAGTCGATGTGAACCGAAACGATTTGGTTATCAACATTCTTCAAAATATCTTCTTTTGTATTTCCACAGAAGAAAGTAGGTCATATAGGGTGAGTAAATGATGGCAGAATTTTCATTTTTGGATGAACTATCCCTTTAATGACCTTATAAAACCTTTCCTGACTTGAGCCTTATTATACAACCCTATATAATTTTATTCTTTTAAGAGGCCATATCACTTTATAGGCTATAAAACTGCTCTAGGAGTATGACAGTTGGCTGAAAGTGATGGTTTATAATTAAAATAATGTTTAAAATACTAGTATTTTTCTCACACTCCTATCGTTTTGCTTCAGAAGACAAATGGGTTTATATGTTGTGATCTTTGTGGGCGAGTGAATGTTGAGAGAATTTAAATTTCCTCCCTTTAAAATGTTAACAATTCCTGATAGGGTGGATCTTGCGGATTAAGGGTTTTGCAGGGATCGGCCTCTTATCTGTTTAATTAAAGAGATTGGGTGGATAGCAGACCGAGAGAGGGGTCCTCCCTTTGTGCTGGAGTCTGGTGGGGGGTACATGGGCAGACCCTGGGAGGTGGGACACATGTCTGAGTTGGTGTGATGATGAAGAGATGTGAAATCAGATGAGGGGGGTTGAGAGCTGGTAAAGGGGCAGTTGGGTAATGGATCATTTTCACAACCTTTGTTTGCAAAGCAGGGAAAGGGAGGGGCTGGCAACTTTTTTCTTAATTACCAGGAGGGGGTACCTCTAAACTAGTGCTCCCTCGACTGCTTTTGTTTTATTTCTTTATGCATTCGTGGTCAATTACAATGAACTGTTTTGATGAGTTAAAGATTAAACATGCTACACATTTTAAAAACATTTTTTAATTGCTTATGTCTTAATCTAAAAAAAAATAATTGCATTGAAAAATCAATTTACATTCACATTGAAAAATCAATTCACATAAAATTCCTTATTGATTAGTATTGCCCTCAGAATTATTTTATTTTACTTTATTTTTTTTAAGGCCTTTAAATTTCTTAAAATGCCTTAAATTCAAGCCCCACCTACTTTACTTCATTATTGTCCTTAGTATTTTATTTTATGGATATATATATATAACGAAAGTAGGTGGAGCTTGATTTTAAGCCATTTTTTAAGATATTACGAAATAAAGTAAGATATATGCAATATATTTATACAGTGTGTGTGTGTATATATATATATATATATATATATATGTATGTATGTGTGTGTGTGTGTGTGTGTGTGTGTGTGTGTCAAACTCAAATGTATTCAGAATCAGATACCTTCAACATTTCTCACATTATCACCAGTTTATTCGCTATAGTTTAGAAAATGGTAATAAAATATGACAAGAACTCCAAATTATTAAATCAGTTGATATTTCACTGGTTTTGGTCATTCTTCAGTTAGACTTTCTCAAAAATGAATTGGGTTGAGTAGCTGTCAGCTGTTAAATTCACCAATTTAAGTTAACCAATTACCAAGTAATGCTAATTTTGTTTAGTCTGTGGTGTTAAAAGTTCACATTAGCAATTAAAGAAAAAACACATGGTGCAGGTCAAAGAGTCAGAATCATTTTTTGGGTCCCAATTTTTTTTAAATATTTTTTTTTAAATTTACCACTGTATGAAGAATTTCTGGGTTTAATATCACAGTTTACTTTATTTTGCTGTCCTCACTTACATAAATTAACTATAATGTCCCACACCCACTAGTAAAACGATATCAAAAATCATATCTGGTGTCTGAATAATTTTTGGTTTGACTGTGTGTGTGTGTATTTTTTTAAGAATGTCTTGAAGAGTAACCTTAAAAAACCAAACCCCCACCTGCTTGCTTTGTTATACTTAATGTTTCCATAGGGATACATTATGCTTATGTGTTTGTTAGAGCATGTGGGGTTCGTGCAGGATTTAAGTGTGGACTGCCCTCCAGTGGTGGTCATACTGCCAGCAATCATTCTAATTTGATCAGCTATTTCACCTCTTTATAATGAGACATTATATTGCTCATAAAGATCCTCAGTTCATCATTTAATAGATGTAGAGCAAAGATCAGGAGACAGTTGTTAGTTTAGCTCGTACACTTTATTGAAGTAAATTGGAGCAGAACAGGGCAATTTATCTCAATAATAGAGTTAGATCTTCTTGCTGGTACGTACAAAAACAACCGGACCCGTGGCACTGGTTGCTGTGGAGGTCTGTAAAGCAAAGCAAGGGGACTTTAGCTACTTTACAAGAATTAGGCCTACATATAATATAATTACATAATGTCTAAAATGATCTCACCTCCACCAGCTTTCCACCACTGATCTCAGATGTATGGTGGTACTTGGGGAAACTTATGGCCAGCTTGGCCCCTTCCATGGAGACTATGCCCTGGTGAGGACAGGTAAACAGTCATTTTCAATTTTCAGAGGCTTTAGTCCGATCTCTCTTATGTGCAAGCATTGACTTTTTGCCATACCGTGAATTTCTTCCCTCCAACAGTCTCCATCTCACTCTCTTTGCCAACGATGAATTTGTTGGTCACAACGTGGTTTTTTGGGTAGTACTGGATCCATGTGTATTCGTCTCCGTTCTGGATGACCTCTGTCACAAGCTTGAAGTCACGGCCCTTGGAGATGACATCATCGGGGATACCTGAGGTGTGCAAGTCGAGCGATCAGAATTTAGACTAGCTCAGTTTGGAATATCTGGCTTTTGTGGCGATTTTACAAATTTCTAACAATAAACGCTTAAGAAGTCCACCCATATCAGCTGACAGAGTTATACTAAAATTAAATTAAATACTGATAATTAAAAGAGGCAAGCTTGATTTCTTAACCTTCAAATGGTCTTCGTTTCCTGTTTACGCTTCGCGGTCTATACGACCCCAACAATTGATTGAGTAATTGTACAAAAAATACACATTTTTAATCATACAAATAATCTATCATTTTTTGTTTACTTCTCATCTTATAATTAATGCTGTGTTTTTGGAGATATAAAGTACTTTTGTATCCATATACCACACAATAGCTTGCATATGAAATTTTTATGATGCATTGCATTTATGTTCTAGTGCCTTCATTTCTGTGTAAAAATTATAGACCCCATGACCCAAATGAGGGCTACAATTTAAAAATATAATATGCACACACATATTCTGAACCTTTCATTGAACACTTTGTAAAAGAACCATTTTTTTTCTAAGTGTGAAGAACATTTTAATAACCTAAAAGACCTTTGTAAAATGGAAAATTTCAATGGATTTTAAACCATGCCAATAAAGAACATTTATTATTTGGGTGACAAGACAAGAACCTTAAGATGTGCTTCCAAATAATTTGCAGGACAACATTTCTTGTCCAAAGCAATTCATGGTAAGGATAGTCTAAGCTAGATCAACCTGTGAGGAAGTGGATGGAAGTGTGGCCCGAAATAGAAGCCCATTTCGAGTAGTAACTCTTCTAGATCCACTGATACTACCACCAGAAACAAAACAAAAAATGAGTTGTTTGAAAAGAAACAGCTTACCAATCAGTTTGCAGAACACTTCATATCCGTCCTGAGATTCGGTTTCCCACTTTCCGTTGAAAGCCATGGTTTGGGTGTTGATTGTTGAGTGGAGATGAAGAGTGAGCTGAGAGCTGAGGTACTGATGGGTCAAGTTTCCTGCACTTATATACCCTACCGCTCTTCAACTCTGCCTCTTGTTCATAAAATTATGGGCACACCATCATCATAACCTAGCCATAAACTTTTATGATGACCTCACAAAAGAACAAGTCATCAAGTGCATGACCGCAAGGATGGTTACCTGGGTAGCAGTGATGTACCATACATGGGCAATGAAGAAAAAATCAGTGACTTCAAATATTTCCCAGTACAGCTTATGAGTCTGTACAGTGTGGTATAATGGAAATAGCATTTGTCTTTTAGATAGTCAATATATATGACAAATAGATGATTAATGATAGCAATGTCTAACCAGCTACAAAATAGGTTTTAGTTTGCAGCTGTCCTGCTAGTACTGAAGTACTTGAGCTTGCTTTTGAAAGTCCAGAAAGCTCTTTATGTCAGACTGAACTATATGTTCCAGTAGATAGTGATTCATAGCCACGCAAACCTTGTCTAGAAAACTGAGAGAAAAACATCAGGGTATTGACTATCCAATCCTCTTTTCCACTTTTCCATGGGATACTCCAAACAAAGATGAAAATGGGTTTCCTCACATTTGACTGTGGAAGATCAGAGAATTTATTTTGGAATGGAGGTCAATGGGCTCCAGTGTTATTTGGTTTTCAATGTTCTTCACAATATCTTCTTTTATGTTTCCATAGAAGACAGAGAGAGTCATACAGGTTTTTGACAGAATTTAGGTGGCCTGTCCTGAAATTCAAAAATCAAAATGCTGGTATATCAGAAAAGCGGTCTTAAAATGGACTATCTGGAAGTTTAAAAGGAGGGAAAGGTCAATGCCCTTCAGCACGTAAACCTCTGCTAGTTTCTCATAGAATACAGCTTTCATTGCATCATCTCCGTTGGCCTTAAAGTTTCATTTTTTTCCCAAGCCTTTTGTTGAGATTTACAGATAAATTTCAGCTTCAAAGATCTCCACCACTCACAAATCTAGCAGAAAGATGAGCTGAAGAGAGAAAAAGCAGGATCAGAATGGGATCTCTTCACTTCCAGAGCTATAGCTTCTCTCACCTGTCACCTCTGAAAGCACACATTGATTTTTGGGGAACACGGAATGGTGTGACATTTGTCTTGGATTTAGAGATTTCTTTGAAGCATCAAAGGTCATTTGAGGATGAGATATTATCAGTGAAGTTGAGAACTATCATAGTTCTGCAAAATATATGTAGGCTTATATTTAGAAATGTAGCATTAAAGTAGACTGAATAGATTAGGAAAGTTGTTACAGAAGCAAACTAGACTGGTTAAATGGCAAATGGATTGTGTTGTCATAAGCAACATTTCACTCACATTATATGGTTTGATTGCAAACGCTCGTTAAACTTTGCCTTTGGCAACATATTCACCAAGAGAACGGTTTAATAAATAAAAACCATAGTGAAACATAAACTTTTATGGTAACACTTTACAATAAGGTTCATTAACATTAGTTAACTACATTAGTTAACATGTAGAATATATGAACAATACTTCTTCAGCTTTTATTAATCTTAGTTAATATTAATTCCAACATTTACTAATACGTTATTAAAATCAAAGGTTGTATTAGTTAATATTAGTTAATGGACTGTGAACTAACATGAACGCACAATGAACAGCTGTATTTGTATTAACTAACATTAACAAAGATTAATAAACACTGTAACTAATGCATTGCTCATCATTAGTTCATGTTAGTTAATGCATTTACTAATGTTAACTAATGAACCTTAATGTAAAGTGTTACCACTTTTATAATACTTCCTTTAGGACTTGCCATTAACACCTGCCATTATAATATTTTATTTTATTCTATTGAAAAAAAATTGCAATGTAGAGTTGTCAAAAATATTGATTTTTCAGCACATATTGATACTGAAATTTCTGAAATGCTTTCAATACTAAAACGTTTCTCATGAGTTGACGCACAAACCCGCCTCACTCGTTTCATGTGCTCTAGATTAATACTGTTGATGTGACAGGGCTTGAATTTCAATATTGCTAGTATTGTGCATAATTTGACTCTTTCCTGCAGATTTCCTGCTCGCCCCCCAAAGTGCATGCACATATACCCATATATCTTATGGCACTTAAACAGTAAAATACACACAAAATATCATCAAAATGTCGTACTTGGCAAGTAGGCTATTCACAAGAACAGTCAGTTATGTTTTAAGTGAAAGTTAACAGTTGAGAAAGAAAACGCATGTGTAACAGTACAATAGGTCTGTGTGTCAGCTTATACCTGCTGCCAAATTATGAGATAATATGTTTAATATTGGCAGTTTTCTGTTGGTATATTGGTATCGATGTCAAAATTGTGGCCGGTGAAAATGCTGAGTGGCTAGTAACTTTTGGAAACCACCTGTCACATCAGTGAAGTTAATGTCAAACCTTTCTTGTAGAAGTGTCTCCCTATAGGTTTGACAATAAATGTGTCATGTTGAAACAATGCTGACAAATCACTTCAGCAAATAAATCTGATCGCCTACATTCTTTCTTTATGAAATCAGAACAATTATCAAATAATTAGTATTTGATCATTCATTTCTGACATCATATATATAGCCTGAAAGCTAACTTCATGAAATATAAACATAAAATGTATTCACTGTACTGACTGTCTGTATCCTTACACTAGGTTTATCTGACTATAAGGAAAGGTGAAAGGTCAGTGCACTGATGATCAGTAGGTCATTATATACAATGACATGTAGCTGCTGGTTTAGATGAGCTTATCAATTATGCAAACGTTAGCTTTTGAGAACTACACGCAGATAACACTGCACACCCGTGACCTAAAATGCTTAAAACATAAAAACATAAGAAATGTATTGGTTATACTACAATTACAAAATAACTGAGAAGCTGTTTCTTCAACAAAGCCACAAAAAGAGCAAGTTTTATCAATATCAGAAGAATATTTAGAAACAGGATAGATTTTATGAAAAATTTTATAATGAATGTTCTTAATTTTGTTGGATACACAACATGTACTTGGCAAAAGCCATGCCTTTCTCCACTTTACATTTGTTACAAAAGAGCCCCAATAGAATTTCCTTTTCATTTGAAAGATTTAGAGAATTTGTCTGTTGTTGCATGCGTTTCCGAAACTAAATCCAACCTAAGAACCTAAAGTCCATCTAAGCGAAAAGCCGAATAAACACTGTTACCTTTAAAAGGTGATTTTTGCATTAATTGGGTTAAACCTGCTGGGAATTGGATGGCTTATTTTATAAAGTATTATATTCCTTTGATGGAACTGGAAAGATATGAATATTCAAAATCTGATTTCCTGATGGAACTGGAAAGATATAGATATTCAGAAATTGCTCGTAAGTTAAAATGTTACCAAAATCAAACAGCACTGTTTTTAGACTAGGGCAGATGGACCACACCAAACCATGACGTATTTACAACTCGACATCGCCCCTGGTGGTACCAAAGTTGTATCTTTTTAAAGTCTATTGACATAATATTAGCCAATCACATTAGTGTTTCCAGAGATTTCATTTGAACGACAAGACCGTGAGCCAATCAACAACAACCGCACGTTGAAGCAGCTAATGGAAAGTGTCAGTAGTTGTAAGTGGGCGGGCTCTAATCTTATCAGGAGGAGAGGGCCAAGTAGTAGTTGCAAAGCGGAAAGAAAATGGCGGCCGTGGCTGCGGAGCCAGGAGCTGCTGCGGCATCAACAACAGCGGGGGACGGGGTGGAATACGAACCCGAGCCAGGAGAGCATGTGGTCGACCTAGAGGCACACCCCGTCCCGAAAATGGAGCTTTGTCACCAACCCGAGGATGTGGATGCAGTTCAGGAATGCAGCCAGGTCCAACTGGAAATCAGAAGGCCGGACCTTCAAGCCGCGGGAAAAGCCCTCGCTGCCCATGCGGACGGTGAGCTCACAGAAACGAGGGGTTCCTGGGGCCGCTTGGACACTGCTGAGCAGCCCGCGTTTATGGACTACAAGTGTGCAGGCGTTTCTGATTACGGGGGCTCCTTATCGCCGAAGGTGGAGGCTGCAAACGAGGTCAGTCCTCCCGAATCCAGCCCCTGCCTTTTGCTCCCCAGCTCCATCTCAGATTCCCAGCACTCCGTGGTCTTCTTGCATTCCCCTCCCTCTCAGGTTCCGTCGGAGCCTGAAACCGGACTGCCTCTGGCTGTCGAATACGACTCCAGTCCCGTGTCAAGCCACCCTATCGACCTGGAGTGTGAAATCATAGGCTTCACGCAGCCTGACCCGGAGCCCGAACCCGCATACGATGCTCTCGGGTCGGAACTTAAATCTCACGAGGATGCATTTCATGACATCCCGCACCCCTCAGATCACCTGGACTGTCTGTCTAATGCAGAGGAGACCTCGCTTGGAGAATCGGTGGGTCAGAGCTACATTAGTGACTTTTCTACTGTTTCCAGCAAGGACTCTCCGGGACTTCCATCGGTAGTGAATCAGTCGCTCATCTCATCGGTAGAGTCAGATCAAGTGGGCTCGCATCATCATCATCATCATCATCATCAGAGCTTCAAAACGGACCTCAGCGAACCCGAGACGGAGTCGGAAACGAAAGCCCCGGTTCTGTGTGCGGAGGAGGCCGACACGGCGGAGCGCCTGGTGCTCGGGTCCGAGGTTCGAGTCTCGCTGGATCACATCATCGACGATGCGCTCGTGGTGTCGTTTCGCTTAGGCGAGAAGATCTTCTCCGGGGTACTCATGGACCTTTCAAAAAGGTAAACACTACTTTTCGCAAAGAAATTTTAGTGTCCACTTTTACATTAAGCATACTTCCCAAAGTTGGCTTTCTTATGTAACGTTAGCTGTCATAATTACATTTCAGGTTATGAATTATCCTTATAGTGTAAAGCAAATTGTCAGTATAGTTTGGAGTGTCGGTTAAGCTTGTAAGTTATTGTTTTCATCTGTCCTTTTTAATAGGTTTACTCATTTTATTCTCCTAAATTGTTTGTTTGTAAATAAAGCTATTATTTACAATTGTACATGTATCTAAAAGGGGAATTATTAATTGCGGCGCTGGTGTGACTGGTGAATTTTTAAAAAATACTATTCTCATCAACCTTTTTTATGTATAAATGACGATAGTAAAATTAATTTAAGTATTCCAAGTCATACAAATTACATTATACAAGAACAAACAAAAACAGTGATGACGTCATATTGCATCTCACTACTATCACTACTTAAAAATGAAAAATGTCAGCTACCCTTATTCAGCTAAGGCCATGTTCAGACTGCAGGTAAATGTGGCCCAAAATAAATGTTTTTCTCATATGTGACTGATCTGTTTTTCTCATGACAGGCTGAGCTGCACAAACCACATGGAATCTGGTCTTTTCAATTCTGTTTTGTGCCACTTTCATATGTGGTACTAGGCCTACATCCGAGACAGGTCTGACCAGTCATATCGAAATTCATCCGATTTTTAATTCTCTCGTGCAACGTTTGTCACAATTCTGCGCTCATCATAGTCACTTCAAAGTTTATACACACTCAAAGTTATCAAGACAGTTGCGGGAGGTAGTCAGTAAACGACAGTACAGTGATGTGTCAGAACTCGCAAGTATTACAGTGACGGCTCTATACAAGCAAAACACGAAGGCTCGTATTATATATGTTTAAAAACTCTCTTTTTTTTCATTCTCATCTTTGTTTTTTACATTGCCTGGTTTCCACGGCAGATCACACTGTAAACAAACACGTAATCACTTACTTTAATGCCCTCCATGTTTACTTCTGTTTGACAACACGTCATCTTTTTATCGTTTTGTGCTTGCGGGTCAGTTCAGGACCTGTTCTGTTCAAACTGGGAGCTGATATTGGCCTCATAAAAAAAACACCAAAAATTGGACCTGAGCAAGAAATCGGAATTGAGCAAGGGGGGGAAACGGTGTTATGCTGGTTATTAACACCCTGCAAATTGCTCCCACAGTTTGTCTGTCTAACACCCTTGTTCACACGTTTTCTCTCAGTGTCAGATATGAATCATTGCTGATCCCAATTTATAGTGCCATCCATGTGGTCTGCAGTGGGATCTCCAGTCTCTGTTCAGTTCTCACTTTAGATACGTCAACATGAAACACTCTTGTGATGTTGCTGTGTAGGGAAGGTTGCTTGAAGAACCTGTCCAGCAACATTGTTAGGAAGTGATTATTACATCAGCTGGAAATTATGGAAGATTTCTCAAAGCTGATAGACTATATAAGTCAACCAATTAATTACACAGGCAAGGATTAGACTGCCCTTCATCTTTATTCTAACACAACTGACATAGATCAGGAATTCCCCAAGTGATTTCTCCGCTGAACCCATTACCCCCTGAGTATTCAAGTTAATATTTCAATAATTGAAAGACTCGTTCGCATGTTCACAGTTCTCTGAAGTCGGTTAGTGGTTACATGACATGCAAGTAAATGGATAAGCTTTGAAATCTTTTTTACTATTTGATTTATTTTGACTTGGACATGGACTTTAAAGTGGACACAAGACTCTTTGATAGTGTCTCGGTCCATATATCCATACTGGTATTTTAGAAACCCAATCAAGTTGAATAATAATAATACCGTTTTAACTGCCACAGAAAAAATATTTCTATGTGAATTACAATTCTACTGTTAAAAAAGTCTTTCATTAGAACAATCATTTTACACTACAAGTTTCGATAATATTTATGTCTTTAAATCAGGGCTGCCCAATCCTGTTCCTGGAGATCTACCTTCCTGCAGTGCAAAAGTTCAGCTCCAACCCTGATCAAACACAGCTTCAGGAGCACTTGATCATTTCAGAAAGGTGAGTTGGATCAGGGTTGGGTCTGAACTCTGCAGGTAGGTTGATCTCCAGGATTGGGTCCCCATGTCTTAAATTCTTCACATTCAAAAGTTAAAACCCTCAAGCTTTTGTATTTGTGGAAATACTTGTAAAATTAGGGGTGTGCAAAAAAATCGATTCACATTTGAATCGCGATTCAATCTTTACCGATTCAGAATCGATTAATAGAATTCCAAAAATCGATTCATAGGCTATATTTTTTAATGGCGTGCAGGGGCGGAGTGGCAATCGGGTAAGTCGGGACTTTTACCGGTGGTCCGGTAGTGTTTCTATGGTTTCGAGGCTGCGAGGGCCGGTCTGATAAATAGTTATTGCAAGTTCTTGCCGCCCGCTGGTCAAACTGTGCAGCCACTCTGCTCAACCCGTAAATAAATGCATCGATCCGCAGATCTGTTTGAGTTCTGTAGATCTTTTGCCAAGCGTGTCAGAGGTTACGGGTTCTAAACCGCACTCGTATAGTTTTTTTCTCTCTCTCATCAAAACCGAATATGTTCATTACGTTTGTGTGCATTTTATTTTGTGATTTCACCGGAGTCTCCACAACGGCGATAGATTGAAGCGCGCGTCCGAGAGAAGACTGCGCGAGCCACAGAGAACACTGTATCCATGACACTGATCGCAGCGGACACGAGCGCTCAGCTTGATTTCAAAAACAACAGGTCTCTTATTTAAACGCGAACTAAATGAATGCTCTGCTAGTAAACTGGAGATACCCGCAAATTACAGCGCCTATGAACGACTTCACTGGATCTAAACAAATCAATCTAACCATAGATGTTACCAGTAGCGGTGGCTTTTTTTAAATCTATTTAAAATATTTTCGCAAGGGTTCTATGAAATTAGTAGCCTATATATTTTTAGGGAGTTCAATGTGCCCAGTCGAGTTCATTTCAACAGTCAACCTGGTAGCTGAAGTAGGCCTACTCCTTAAACCACATTTAGCATAATTGTTTGTTTGATCTGACTACAGCACTTTAAAGCTAAATGTAAAAGCTTTTTATTTAAGTTTTATTTTAAACTTGAATTAAATGTATTTAAAAGCTGGCCAAAGCTTGGCACTGCGCACATTTTAGTTGCAAAAGTTTTTATTTTTGTATGAAGACATATAAAGTAATATCAAACTTTTCTTTTAAATTATGTCTACTGCAATCAATCACATAGGAAAAAGTAAACTACATTTATGTAGACCTGCGAATCGTTTTTTGAATCGAGAATCGTTTTTGAATCGAAAATCGATTTTGAATCGAATCTCGAGACAAAAAATCGGTATCGAATCGAATCGTGACATTTTCTGAATCGTGCACCCTTATGTAAAATGCTTTAAACATCTGTCCTGAAACATATTGGATATTGTATGAATGAAGTAAACCAAGTGCATGTTGCATACTCTAATGCAAGTTAGCTGTGAACCAAGTCGATCACTTTGAAACTTGCAGTTGTATAATTCATTCATTAGCTGTTGATAAGCATTAGCCAATCATTATATCACTCTTTAGAAGTAATCTTTCTAGCTCTAGAAAGGTGCAATAGAAATAAAATTACTTGATTTTATCATTCCACCAAATCACAAAACCGCCTTTAGTTACTTCACAAACTCCCAAATGGTATTTGGGGAAGTTACCCTGACATGGCAGACCACTATATAAAGGAATATTCTGGATTTGAAAGTTAAGCTTAACTTTCCATTGTACATGCTTGTTTTTTTATTTGTACAGACTGTGGGATGAAATTAAATGATGTTCTGTACTTCACAGCATGTCACAGATGCTGCTATTGAAGCTTAACTTAAATTAAGTCTTTGTATTCGTTTAAGAATACAAATTATTATTTACCAGGATTGGTGTTTTGTGCTCTAACATGTTGATGATGAAATATGTTACAGCTCTGAATCTCAAACGGAAAAAACCCAGCAAAAATATGTTCTTAATTGAGAAAGTGTCACTAGCTCAGCTAATTCTATGCTTCCTGCGAGTAGGGCCATCTGTGAGAGTGTGGGAAAACTCAAACTTCCTCTCTTCAATTTCCATTTTGTCTTTAATGGTTTCAGTGTAATTGCTCATGTTTAATGTGTAATGTTACATGTGTAAATGCTACGTGGGATGTCCATATCTCAGCTCAGGAAGGGTCTAGAGCTCAGGTCTAAGTCCCATGGCCCTCTATCAGAATCCAGAGTTTCAAGAAGATTGGAGAAACTTATTTTTTCGGACCAAAAAAAAAAAACGAAAGGGGTACCACTGTCGTTTTTTTTTTTTCGGGTTGAAATTTTGAGTTTCTCTGATCTTCTTGAAACTCTGGATTCTGATAGAGGGCCATGGGACTTAGACCTGAGCTCTAGACCCTTCCTGAGCTGAGATATTGAGATATTTATAATGGCATAAATGCTACGTGGGATGTCCATATCTCAGCTCTGGAAGGGTCTAGAGCCTCCATTTTTGCACTCAGGTCTAAGTCCCATGGCCCTCTATCAGAATCCAGAGTTTCAAGAAGATTGGAGAAACTTATTTTTTCGGACAAAAAAAAAAACGAAAGGGGTACCACTGTCGTTTTTTTTTTCGGGTTGAAATTTTGAGTTTCTCTGATCTTCTTGAAACTCTGGATTCTGATAGAGGGCCATGCGACTTAGACCCGAGTGCAAAAATGGGAGAATCTAGACCCTTCCTGAGCTGAGATATTGAGATATTTATAATGGCATAAATGCTACGTGGGATGTCCATATCTCAGCTCTGGAAGGGTCTAGAACCTCCATTTTTGCACTCAGGTCTAAGTCCCATGGCCCTCTATCAGAATCCAGAGTTTCAAGAAGATTGGAGAAACTTATTTTTTCGGACCAAAAAAAAAACGAAAGGGGTACCACTGTCGTTTTTTTTTCGGGTTGAAATTTTGAGTTTCTCTGATCTTCTTGAAACTCTGGATTCTGATAGAGGGCCATGCGACTTAGACCCGAGTGCAAAAATGGAGAATCTAGACCCTTCCTGAGCTGAGATATTGAGATATTTATAATGCCATAAATGCTAAGTGGGATGTCCATATCTCAGCTCTGGAAGGGTCTAGAGCCTCTCTATTTTTGCACTCAGGTCTAAGTCCCATGGCCCTCTATCAGAATCCAGAGTTAAAAGAAGATTGGAGAAACTTATTTTTTCGGACCAAAAAAAAAACCGAAAGGGGTACCACTGTCGGTTTTTTTTTCGGGTTGAAATTTTGAGTTTCTCTGTTCTTCTTGAAACTCTGGATTCTGATAGAGGGCCATGAGAATGTATGATCATAATCTATGACAAATGCGATTATAAACTAATTAGTGGATAATTCAGCAGTAACATTTACTCTAGAAAAATCCCGAGTGCACAATAATTGTATAAAATCTGAACTTTTAGTGAAAAAAAAAAACATTGTTTAGTGGGGAACTAATAAGAGATAAGTATAGCACTAAATCTGGTAAAATGTTACACATTGCTCTTATATTTGTATCATGAAAAACAAATAGCCTATGAAGAGTTCAGAGGCAAAAGCCTCTAAGTGCCATTTGAAATTTTCTTCTAAAATGATCATTTTTATCAAGCTTGTATATATTTTAGTTCAGTGATTTCACTTAAATGGCAATGATAATTACCTATTAATTGTTATTTAAGTGAAATTACTGAACTTAAATATACAAGTTTGATAAAAATCATCATTAAAGAAGAAAATTTCAAATGGCATTTAGAGGCTTTTGCATCTGAACTCTTCATATATATATATATATATAAAATTAAGACATATTTTAAATGTATAACGCATGTTTAATGAGGCAGCAACCTATGATAGATAGGACAGAACCAGAAAGGCTATTTATAATAATCTTTCATTGGGCAAAAATATTATATGAAAGGCTCAATTAAAATGCGGCACAAAGCGCTTATGCGCATCCCGTGCGCAGAATGATGTTCTTGAAGCAACATGGAGTCACAGCGCGCAGCACTTTGAGCCTGCAGTGAAAAGTTCAAAGCACAAAGGAAAGACATATTGATGCGTAGTGTATTATACAGTATCTATATACAGTATACAGTAGTTGATTGAGCCATTTCTTTTAACAGTTTTAATTTTCAGTTACCGTGCGCGTGAAGAACAATTGTAGTGCTTTCTACTCTACTCCAGGTAGACACCCGGTGTGAAAGTAACATGATTAAGGTACAGCAATAAAGTCCAGCAAGAATAAGTTTTTTTGTGTGAAACCATCGCCCTTTATCTACAGATCAAGTATAATAATAGTAACATTGAATCATCTTGGAGAGTTTCGTATCGTCTGTCGTAGCCGAGTGCTGTTTTAATGCTAAATGGAGAATGATTGACAGCAACAATTAGAATATTGTGCATGAACATATAATGGTGCTTTTATAATGTTTTTGTGCCTTTTGTGGGGCTTAAAGGGTTAGTTCACCCAAAAATGAAAATTAAGTCATTAATTACTCACCCCCATGCTTTACCAACCCCCGTAAGACCTTCGTTCGTCTTCGGAACACAAATGAAGATATTTTTGATTAAATTTGAGAGCTGTATAACTACCACATAGGCTCCTAAGGGACTGCCTCTTGACGGCCCAGAAAGTCAATGAAGAAAATGTTTAAATATCCCAAGTGACTACCGTGGCTCAACTATATGTTTATCAAGCGACGCGAATACTTTTGTGCGAAAAAACAAACAAAAATAACGAGTTTATTCGACTATTTCTTTTCTTCCTTGTAGGCCAGAAACGAGATTTCCTTAGATTTCCACGACGCATGCGCGAGAATTGCGATCTGCTTACACTACTTCAGTTCAGTTCTCGCGCATGCGTCGTGGAAATCTAAGGAAATCTCGTTTCTGGCCTACAAGGAAGAAAAGAAATAGTCGAATAAACTCGTTATTTTTGTTTGTTTTTTCGCACAAAAAGTATTCGCGTCGCTTGATAAACATATAGTTGAGCCACGGTAGTCACTTGGGATATTTAAACATTTTCTTCATTGACTTTCTGGGCCGTCAAGAGGCAGTCCCTTAGGCAGCCAATGTGGTAGTTATACAGCTCTCAAATTTAATCAAAAATATCTTCATTTGTGTTACGAAGATGAACGAAGGTCTTACGGGGTTGGTACAGCATGGGGGTGAGTAATTAATGACTTAATTTTCATTTTTGGGTGAACTAACCCTTTAACAATAACAGAGTAGTAGTATACGCACAGTATCGGATTTGGATTGGTCTCGTCTGAACAATACCCGATCCGGCAAAGAATTGCAGTATCAGAGCCGATACCGAGTATCGGTGCAACTTTTCCTCTGTGATGAAACAGCCGCAGTAGATCAACTGAACTTAAACGCTGTCAGTGTCATGGTGTTGAAGTGGTTTGCCAGACATACTGTCCAGTTTATTTTTAGCTTGTGCTCTGAGGGCTTACTTAATTCGCATTTTCAATGCTAGGCTCAATTCCCAGTTTCAGCTGCAAGTCAGGAACAATGTATATTCCTCTGACATTCAACAGATCACAGACTCAACCTATTTTTTAAGGGAGAGTACTTCATTGTCACAGTTTTTTACACTATCAAAACCACTTGGATTCATTTTACTTTTTTGATGTAGTGATACAGATAGACAGGCGGCAATTCAATTCTGAAATCAACTGTATGGTTAGTACTTTACTCAACAATAACAATTAATAATTAATATTCTGCCGAGCAAGTTCTTCTTGGCCCACATTGGATTTTATCCGTTACTTCTGCTTTGACAGTTAATCATTCTTCCCATCTGTTGTCCTGAATACAGACATGATATATAGCCTAAACCTAAGAGGTTTCTGTCCCTCTATTGAAAGTCCAGGTAACCAAAACTGAAATTCATTTAACTAAAGTCAGTGATTTTAAATCCAAGTCTTGTGAATATAAATTTAAATGAAATCAGAACAATAGTGTTACTGATGCTTAATATATATATATTTTTTTTGCAGAATAATGATTTAAAACTGCAAAATTACAAAGGAAGAATAGGCTATGAATGTAATGCTTTCAGACCTCAGAGTAACTCTTCAGTTGTGTCACTGAACAAACAACTCTGCTACATTTTGTTGTTGCATATTAGTATCCATAATCTGTTAGTAGTATTCTAGTATTCTTGATATTTGTGTTTAGATTTGAGGAAACCGAGATTAGACCCCAACCTCACTGTTCTGTTCAGTTTAACCTTAGTGTCTTTTCTTATCCTCTGTACTTCAGGTTTGGACCTTATGGGATTCCTATAACTGTGTTCCCCAAGAGAGAGTATAAGGACAAGCCAGAATCTATGCAGCTGAAGACGGAAGCATTCCAGTCAGAGACGGATAAGGGTGTTGCTCAAGGAACTAGTGATGCCCCAATTGAGGACCCTGTGGATGCCCCTCTGAAGGACCCTGCTGAGACTTCTGCAGCACCCCAGCCCTGTCCCAACCCTCAACCTAACCCATGGACCTCAAAACCACCTCCTTTGTTTCAGGAGGGGGCCCCTTATCCACCTCCATTGTTCATCAGGGACACCTACAACCAGTCGTTACCTCAGCCTCTACCCCGCAAAATCAAGCGGCCCAAGCGTAGGCTGTATCGAGAGGAGCCCACTTCTATAATGAATGCCATCAAGCTCCGACCAAGACAAGTTCTGTGTGACAAATGTAAAGGGGCTGTGGTGCAAGGGGACAAGCGTGAGACACGCAGAGGCCCCATTTCAGACTGCCGGAGTGACGATGCCAAAAGACGGCGTAATGACAACGTGACGGCAGCTGCTGGTAAGCGGCCCCGCAGTGATCCACGTTCTGAAGAGAAGGGCCGTAGTACCGATGGGCCCAAGCGGCAGGGTTCAGCCATACGGGTGTCATCATCCACCGCCTCTTCTCTGGGCCATAGTCAGGTCAAAGGTGCAGCTGCAGGGAACAAAATAGTGAAGGGGGTGTCCACTACAACAACGTCCTCGGCCAACTCTCGAGTGCAGCTCAATGCCAAAAAAGTGCTTCAGAGCAAAAATGTTGACCACTCCAAAGTACGAGAGGTGCTGAAGATGGCCAAGGCTCAGAGAAGACAGAAAGAGACAGTCACAGGCAGTAGCGGAAACACCAAGGCCATAACCAGGGCCGCAGCCCTCCAGGAAGCCCACCAGAAGGTCCACTTCACCCGACGACTGCAGCAGATTAGTGGAGGTCGAGGTTCCAACCCCCTGCCGCCTAGGATGCGCATCAAGCCCCAAAGGTACCGTAATGAAGAGAACGATTCTTCCTCATGTAAGCCGCCTTGCTTGGAGAAAGTGCCGGGAGGGGGCCGTTTACCACTGCCTAAGCCAGCCGTGCCCCGCTGCACCTCCACACGCTCCTCCTCCTCCTCCTGCTCTGCTAGCCAAGTCGCCACAGCTGTAGAGCCCCAGAGGCCAGACAAACCGATTGAGTCCCCTCTCAACCAGGCCCAACCCGATCCCCTTCCAGCTCCGGAGTACAGGGAACCCCCGGCTGAGTCAGAGGAACAGGAGGGGCGGGAGGAAAAGCGGGAGACACGTGGGAGCAAGGCTGGTAACCTAGTGGTCTACATGACCCTTAACCCCAGCCAGCCCGACTCCTCTAGTACATCCAGGTGCAGCATCGATAGTGCAGATGACTTAAAGTCATCAAACTCTGAGTGTAGCTCTACCGAAACGTTCGACTTCCCCCCTCCTGGCGATTTGCGTTCGGCCCCTGCCCCTGGCACGTCCTCCACTTTTGTCTCTGCCTCTCCCTCTGCTCCTAAGGACGACAAAAAGTGCAGTAAATCTCTCAAAGCGACAGTCTTTTCCAAAAACGTCACAAAGTGCGTTGCCCTGGATGGCAGGACAATTTGTGTTGGGGACATTGTTTGGGCCAAAATCCTTGGCTTCCCCTGGTGGCCCGCCCGCATCCTAGCCATCACAGTGAGTCGCAAAGATAATGGGCTCTTAGTCAGGCAGGAGGCCCGGGTCTCTTGGTTTGGGTCGCCCACCACTTCCTTCCTGGCCATTACTCAGCTTGCCCCGTTTCTAGAAAACTTCCAGTCTCGCTTTGACAAGAAGAGAAAGGGCCTGTATCGTAAAGCCATCACTGAGGCTGCCAAGGCCGCCAAGCAGCTCACCCCTGAGGTCCGAGCCTTGCTAACTCAGTTTGAGACGTGAGGTGATATGCTTTGGTAAGGTAGGCAAAACAGGCAACCGAGTTGGCCCTGTACCCCTTCTGACACATCTCAAACTTTGCTGTATCCAGTCAGCTTTCAGAGTGAAACAGAAAAACGTCAGCCAGGCAAAACCAGGACTAATTTATTTTCGTTGAGAAGGCAAGAGAAGGGGATTGAATTGAACGGTTTTCATGTTAAGTATCTAATGTTCGCCTCTATGTAATCGGTCTTTTGATCTTGTCATGTCATCAAACCTTTATTATAATGAAAACGGATGACAGAGATTTGTAGGAAAAGGTTTTATGGGTTCTGAGTGGCCACAATATTTCAATTTTATTCTTGGTCACTGTCTCCTGTTAAAGATCCCTGTAAACATAAAAGCAAATGATCTCTGAGTGGGATTTTTATTGAGCTTCAATAGCTTTCATGAAGAATTAGGCATGTGAAAATGTCTGCTTGAACCCATTCTTAAATGGTGGCCCATTCAGAAAAAAAGTCGATTGTTACTCTATCCGCATCCCTAACTTAGCACAGTTAATGCTTCCTTTTGTATGATCAGAAGAAGTGTTAAAGGTTCACAGTGTCAGTCATTCCTGCTGCGTTTAGGTTTTTTTTTTTAATCTTTATCACTACAGTGATTCTAGACAGCGTCTCTGTCCAATCGCCCTAAGATTACATGAGCTAAAGTCTTAGAATTCAAGTTAGACCATCCTTTAGTTGTTTTCTTTTATTACGGAAGTTGTGTAACTGTAAAAGTGGACCCTGTTGGGTAGAGTGCCTCGCTCAGGTAGAAAAAGGGACTTAATTGGTGCTGATCTTTCTCAGGCGTTCTGAGACGACTAATCCAAGTTCAGTGATCTGAGCAGACGGCTGTTGATCTGGGCGTGGCTCTTTGCAGCCAGTCGAGCTGCCGTTACGGGGGGAGGTGCCGATAAGCCGAAGTCACCTCAAGTGCCACTGTGAGGAGAGCACAGCGACTCTGTAAATGCAGAGAGTACCACCTCAGACACGGAGAAAACTGCCAGCCTAACTGTGCGTCCTCTTTCCCAACCCCTTGCCGCCACAACATCTGCTTCCCAAGCTACTTGCCCTGTTCGCAGCTTTTTTTCTCTCTCTTCCCCCACTTGTTTCGCTCACTCCTCCCGTTGTCATGTTTGTGTCTCCGACTGCTTTTTATATCTGATTATGGCGAAAATGTTCCTGTTGTTCAGCCAATCCACTTACCACCCCTACTGTCTTAGCATGGATTTGGGAGTGCATATATATGTTAAATGGAATAATGAGCATTTTTAATGGTTCCATATGTTTATCCAATTTAGGCATATCACATCTCGAAGCAAACTATAAGTTTTGATGTAGCTGCAGTGGAATGCAAAACTCTTAACCTGAGATCCTTTAACTCGATTAAAACACTAGTCCACTGTGGTGTCCCGCTTGCAAAGTGGGACATTGGAGCACAAGGCAGCAGTTCTCATGTGTGATTGTTCGTCATAATTATGGGCTGGTTTAGATGTTCAGTGATTTGTTCTGATGCCAGTATTCATTGTCTCTCATCTGAAATGTGTTTCTAAGGATTATTGTGTTTTAAATTTATTTGTTGTGCCTGAACTTTATTTTCTGTCATTTCACTATTTGCATAATAGGGCTGAAGGTCTAGAGTACACATTTGTATGTAAAAGTGTTCAAAATGTATTTTACCTGATTGATTTAAAGTCAGTGCTGAGAACCAACGATTTTATTTGTGTGGATGAGCATTATCTTCTTTTCTTGTCTGTAATCATGGTTCTGTCCTTGCATTGCATACCCATTAGCATCTTGAACTGTCCAGTTTTATTTACACATCTGAGAAGGGAAATATACTGTATGCTATCTGGGTCATTTCAAATATGACTTACAGGTAGAGGAGAGATCAAGGACTTGAGGGAGAAAAAAACAATGCTTGGTAGACCACACTGACTGACTGATGGAGGTTTGTGTAAAGGAGTAAAAACGGTATTTATTTTGGTGGTTGGCTTTGTTTTATTTCAGCATCTTTTTTACTTTTATTTCTATCTGTTTGCAGGTCAGAGAATGCTGTAAAACCATTGAAAAAAAAGTAACAGTTGAAGATATTGTGTACATGTTTTCTGATGTTTTAAGAGTATATAAATAAACTGTGAACTTCAAGAATTTTATCTAGTTGTCATTATTTTTTGTATTTTATCTTCCTAATATCATTTCTCACTCCAAACCATATTTGTCTCAGGTGTAAGCCTAGTGTACTTGCTGTTTTTCTAAACAAAGTTTTACTCGATTAATCACGACAGCCTTACCAAGACTGTTCTGTCGATTCACAATTAACCAATGCATGAAAAAGACAGATTTTCTTACCTGCAAACAGTAGGGCAAGATTTGACAAAAATGTGTCAGTAAATTTAGTCTGCACTTAACAGTAGTTCAGTTTACACTGGACAGTAAATCAAGCTTCACAGGTTCATTTTAAATAGATTTACTGATCTGTGCTGTCCATGTGGTCTTGGCTTTTCTTTTTTTTAAGATCAGACATTACCATAGTAAAACAGTTCGCCATGGTTATCAATCATATGAAACAATGTAAAGTGACTAATTCCATCATATGCATTTGATTTGCTTTTGAATATACATGTTTAGTTGGTCTAAAAAAAACATTTTATGGGATTTCCTCCCTGGCATCTTATGAACAAATATTCATCCATAAATTGTAAATACAGAATGTAAAGCTCATCCATTTCAAGTATGTTTGTGAATCAAATCCTCTGTACAATAATGTCAGTTTTGGGCCAGGAAGCAAGTCAGTATTTTTCCTAAATGAAAGTCATGTTAAGCCTAAACGCATTTCTATTGGCACAGTAGGTCTATAGTTCACTGTACTATCACAATTAGTAAAGGGAAGATTTTCTCTGTTCTTCAAACGTAAGACTACTGACATCTGAAAAGCAAATTAAGACTAGCAGTTCTTCAAAATATTGGTTCCTGTATATTGCTGTTTCTCACATTTTTCTTTAGGCCCTAGAATCTTAATGTGTATTAGTTTATAAATAATAATTTGATAATCCTGAGAAAAAAAAAATCTGACCCTTCTTTTGTCTTTCTTTTTTTTGCAGTGCTGCAACTCTGAAGAGCTGCTGATTGGTCTTGAGCCAATCAGATGAGAAGAGCCATTCAGTTGGAGTGCAGGTGTAACGGAGAAATTATTTTTATTTAAGAAAAGAATTATATATTTATTATGGTGAATTGCAGACTTTCTCCACCTATTTCCTGATCAATCATGCTGAAAATAATTTTTCGAACCAGACTTTTCGTTGTGCAGGCTTTTGTATTTAAAGCATGTGAAAGAACACTTCCAAACACTGAACAGCACAGAGATACGTGGATTCGAGGTGGTGATTCGGCACACATTAATGCAGGGTTTTTAAGATAACTTATAAAGATTTTAAAAATGTAAAAATGCAATAAATAATGCATGTGCAATGTTTCACAGTACAATTGCAGAGGATTGGGTTTAACCGTTTGTAGTCTTGGATGAAATCCCAGTGTCCTTTCCCAACATCTATGCTCGTTTATATTGAGAAATTCTGAGCCTTAATGCAGTCTAGACTGTTCTTGAAGAGATCTTGAAGTTTTCCACTCTGTGACACAGCATACATGAAATGATCAATGCAATCTGTCCAGCGTTACAAATCACTCTGAGCCAGTTTAGTTGACTTTCCCCTTTTTTGTGCTCCCCTGCATTTATAAATGACTTTCTAATTATACAAACAGTCAAACATGACAGCATCTTTTCTATCTCTCTAAAGCTTTTGCAGATTGTTCGCCTCAAGGTTTTCCTATAATAGCCGTAGAGGGCATCATTCATTGCACATGCTCAACCTGAGTCCTGTAAAAAGGGAATTTAGAGCGAGTGAGGAACAGCTTGCTGTTGTAAATACTTGTGTTTCAGTACAATCTGACAGCTCTCCTAGCTATACAAATAAAGATGGGGGTCATGGGCATACATTTGTTTTATTACTGTATTAAATGTATATCTCTTTATGAAATTAAACCTGTTTTTTTTCCCCTTGTACCAAACTGTGTCGTATTCTTTATTAAATCATGCTGTATTAAATACATCAAAGAAAGTCACAATAGCCAAAGCGGACAGGATCTCAAATAACCACAACGGGTTTAATGTGAACGAAGGTTTGGTTGATTACTGCCATTTTTCTCATTGTTCACAACTGACAGTCTGCGGGTCACTGATACCAGCTTCACTGCACACGTAACACTCTGGCATGCTGAAAAATGACCGAAATAATGTAGACTTAATAGACACCTGATGTGAGCGGATTATGTAATTGGCCAAATCAAATGGAAACAGCTTACATTATTTGTCCGTGACAGGGAATATGATTGGATAGTCCGAATACTTGGACGGGTGAGTGGAGAGTTTATCACTGTAATAACGGCTTCTAGCTTGCTATCTGTTGTTGTTATTGGGATTCTGAACAAAATTAACGGAGTAGGATCCTGTGGTATCTTGGTTGACCTGGAAGTTGGAGGTGGAGAGACCAAAGGGTCGTAAAATCATGTTGCCCAAGTCTTTCAGCTTACCTGAGAAGACAAAGAGAAAACAAATTATAAATATGATCTGCCAATAAAAAACCCCAACTCATTTTACTGATCTTCAACACACACACACATCGCTTCAAAAGTTCAAACAGAAGTCTCTTGGGGTCACAAAGGCTGCACTTGTTTGATCAAAATTGAAGGAAAAAAATTAAATATTGTAAAATATTATTTAAAGTATTTAAAAAAATAACTCTTCTATTTTATTATGTTTTAAAACAATTTATTCCTGTGATGCAAAGCTGAATTTTCAGCATCATTACCACATTATTCTACACCCTCCATTTTTGTACTCAGGTCTAAGTCCCATGGCCCTCTATCAGAATCCAGAGTTTCAAGAAGATTGGAGAAACTTATTTTTTCGGACCAAAAAATTGTATAATAATATTTTTTCAGTCGTTTTTTTTTTCGGGTTGAAATTTTTAGTTTCTCTGATCTTCTTGAAACTCTGGATTCTGATAGAGGGCCATGCCACTTAGACCTGAGTACAAAAATGGAGGCTCTAGACCCTTCCTGAGCTGAGATATTGAGATATTTATAATGGCATAAATGCTACGTGGGATGTCCATATCTCGGCTCTGGAAGGGTCTAGAGCCTCCATTTTTGCACTCAGGTCTAAGTCCCATGGCCCTCTATCAGAACCCAGAAATTCAAGAAGATTTGGGATACTTAATTTTTCGCCCGAAAATGAAAAAAAACGAAAGGGGTAACACTGTCGTTTTTTTTTCGGGTCGAAATTTTGAATTTCGATATCTCAGCTCTGGAAGGGTCTAGAGCCTCCATTTTTGCACTGAGGTCAAAGTCGCACAGCCCTCTATCATAATCCAGAGTTTTGAGAAGATTGGAGAAACTTAATTTTTCGCCCGAAAATGAAAAAAAACGAAAGGGGTAACACTGTCGTTTTTTTTTCGGGTCGAAATTTTGAATTTCGATATCTCAGCTCTGGAAGGGTCTAGAGCCTCCATTTTTGCACTCAGGTCAAAGTCTCACAGCCCTCTATCATAATCCAGAGTTTTGAGAAGATTGGAGAAACTTAATTTTTCGCCCAAAAATGAAAAAAAACGAAAGGGGTAACACTGTCGTTTTTTTTTCGGGTCGAAATTTTGAATTTCGATATCTCAGCTCTGGAAGGGTCTAGAGCCTCCATTTTTGCACTCAGGTCAAAGTCTCACAGCCCTCTATCATAATCCAGAGTTTTGAGAAGATTGGAGAAACTTAATTTTTCGCCCGAAAATGAAAAAAAACGAAAGGGGTAACACTGTCGTTTTTTTTTCGGGTCGAAATTTTGAATTTCGATATCTCAGCTCTGGAAGGGTCTAGAGCCTCCATTTTTGCACTCAGGTCAAAGTCTCACAGCCCTCTATCATAATCCAGAGTTTTGAGAAGATTGGAGAAACTTAATTTTTCGCCCGAAAATGAAAAAAAACGAAAGGGGTAACACTGTCGTTTTTTTTTCGGGTCGAAATTTTGAATTTCGATATCTCAGCTCTGGAAGGGTCTAGAGCCTCCATTTTTGCACTCAGGTCAAAGTCTCACAGCCCTCTATCATAATCCAGAGTTTTGAGAAGATTGGAGAAACTTAATTTTTCGCCCGAAAATGAAAAAAAACGAAAGGGGTAACACTGTCGTTTTTTTTTCGGGTCGAAATTTTGAATTTCGATATCTCAGCTCTGGAAGGGTCTAGAGCCTCCATTTTTGCACTCAGGTCAAAGTCTCACAGCCCTCTATCATAATCCAGAGTTTTGAGAAGATTGGAGAAACTTAATTTTTCGCCCGAAAATGAAAAAAAACGAAAGGGGTAACACTGTCGTTTTTTTTTCGGGTCGAAATTTTGAATTTCGATATCTCAGCTCTGGAAGGGTCTAGAGCCTCCATTTTTGCACTCAGGTCAAAGTCTCACAGCCCTCTATCATAATCCAGAGTTTTGAGAAGATTGGAGAAACTTAATTTTTCGCCCGAAAATGAAAAAAAACGAAAGGGGTAACACTGTCGTTTTTTTTTCGGGTCGAAATTTTGAATTTCGATATCTCAGCTCTGGAAGGGTCTAGAGCCTCCATTTTTGCACTCAGGTCAAAGTCTCACAGCCCTCTATCATAATCCAGAGTTTTGAGAAGATTGGAGAAACTTAATTTTTCGCCCGAAAATGAAAAAAAACGAAAGGGGTAACACTGTCGTTTTTTTTTCGGGTCGAAATTTTGAATTTCGATATCTCAGCTCTGGAAGGGTCTAGAGCCTCCATTTTTGCACTCAGGTCAAAGTCTCACAGCCCTCTATCATAATCCAGAGTTTTGAGAAGATTGGAGAAACTTAATTTTTCGCCCGAAAATGAAAAAAAACGAAAGGGGTAACACTGTCGTTTTTTTTTCGGGTCGAAATTTTGAATTTCGATATCTCAGCTCTGGAAGGGTCTAGAGCCTCCATTTTTGCACTCAGGTCAAAGTCTCACAGCCCTCTATCATAATCCAGAGTTTTGAGAAGATTGGAGAAACTTAATTTTTCGCCCGAAAATGAAAAAAAACGAAAGGGGTAACACTGTCGTTTTT